TCTTTAATGATCAACGGGACACCACGCTTATAAATATAAATTAGAATCGGCGAGATCCCTTCGTCCGCCATTTTATATTATTTTATATCCCCTAAATTACACTACCCTTTTCCTCTACCTTTGCTCTCTAGTGAAAAAATACTCCACCTCCGTTCCGGAACAATATCGAATATCGCTGGATGAACTTTCCATATATATATACCCGGAGCTATGTTTAATAACAGAATGGAATGGATTTAATAACAGTGGAGGCAATAGCGAAATTTCAGTCGAATTAATTTCTCTGCTTTTAAGGCTGACGAAGACCTACGTGTGTAGTACGAGCGGGGCCGGGAAATCTAAATTACCAGGTGCAGGTTTGGAAATTTTAGAAGTTGTTCCGGCCTGGCGGCAACGATCGACGCCACTGCGCGAATCAACGTTAAACCTTCGTATCAACGAAGAAACCTTAACAGATTCGCGAAACCTGCAATTCCGTGTGTACTCGAATTACCCTCGATACACGTATCATTTTCACCATTGTAGCTACCGGTAACTAGCGCGATGATATCGCTGAATACTCGATATATATATATATATATATTCCGACGTTTCGTCTATCGTTTTAATAAACCTACGAATTTCTCAATTCGAAGAATCTTCTCCTCGCTTTCAGCTCGTTTACTTGGCTTCGTTGCAACTGAATGTTCAAAATTCCATTTTCTCTTTTCTTTTTTTTCTTTTTTTCGCGAAAAATCAAAACGAAGGATAACTTTCTGCTTCCTCGGATCGCCATCGATCTCTACGATCTTCGTTCAATCACTGTGGCCGGTGTCACAGTCTCGTTGAAGCAGGCGTTGCAAACACGTCGCGAACGAACGATGTCACCTAATTGTCCTATTATCGCTCGCTGCGCGGCTCGAGAGGATCGGAATCACCGGGCCTGGTGTCAGGACGAGATCTATTGGCGAGATGGAGTCGCGTACACACGATCAAGACGTGTTATTAAGTAGGCGCACGCGGTTCGCCAATAAATCTCCGGAGCGACGCCAGCAACGTAGCTTCCTCCCCTCCCGCCCCTGGCTCGTCTTATTGCATATCTGGCGAACCGATGAAGTGGCGAAACCTAATTTCGTCCCCGGGACGATCGCCTCCGAAAGCGAATATAGACGTCTTCGGGATGGAATTATAGGATGATGTAAGCATTCTCGGCTCTCCGGGTGTAATTACCAAACGGGAAAATTGGAAATTGCCGGACATCCAGACGGAGGGCTCGGAGCTAGAAAATCTTCTTCAAAATTGTCCCTAACAAGACAAATATAGCCGGGAATCGGAACAACAGGCTAAAAAGAAAATTATTCGATATTGTTGTCTGTGCCTTTGACTAACTCTCCACTGCAAAAATATTATTTAGTTTCGAATAAAAGATACATTCCAAAAAAGAAAAAGAAAAAATTAGTTATTGTTGAAATTGCAAAAAAAAAAATTATTCGATGTTGTTACCGATGTATATTTGTTGATGCCAACGAAATGGTACTTCCACGGATATTTGAAACTTAGTCTTACTGACTAACTTGTCTAACTCTCCATTGTAAAATTATTTAGTTTCGAATGAAGGATACACTCAGCAAAAAAAAAATTATTCGATATTATTATTAGTGGCAAACGCCAATATTTGAAACTCTTTGACTAACTTGTCTAACTCTCCATTGCAAAAATATTATTTAGTAGTCGAATGAAAGATACATTCGCCAAAAAGAAAAAATTATTAGTTATTGTTGAAATTGCAAAAAAAAAAAAATTATTCGATGTTGTTATCGATGTATTTGTTGATGCCAACGAAATGGTACTTTGTCTAACTCTCCGCTGTAAAAATATTATTTAGTTTCGAATGAAAGATACA